CAAAATAAATAATCTATAAATTAGTAAATCAAATAAAGCAATACGTAAATCTGAACGAAGCATGCTAGATAGTATCTGATCTGATGATAATCTGTGTAATTTTAGTTTCAATTATGCATTTGTTAAAATTGAGGGTTCCAGTTATTTGTTCTAAAAATATTTAATGGGGAATAATAATTTTTCATTCTTTGAACATAAGATGTTATTGTAATGTATATATATTGTATATACCATTACCTACATTTATTCTAACATGTCTCACATGATTTTAATATCAGAAATGATGATGTTTTAAGGGTTTTTTAATGAATTTAATGATGAATTTGTTGCTAGATAGTATCTGATTTGATGATAATTTATATAATTTTGGTTTTTCTAGTAAATTTGTCAAATTTGTGTGTTCCAGTTGTTTGGTTTTTCAGTAAAAAAACTCATAGCCATATTTGAGAAGAAGACAAACTATGTCTCTATAGTTATCATCAACAGGCTATAAAAACGGATTGAAAGTGGAAAAAGTAAATATTTATTGTATTTTTATTTCACATTTATAACATGTACATCTATATTATAGGGATATAGAGTTGTGCAATTTGATCAATTTCCTTGATTAGCTGAATACATTAAATTTAATACTGAGATAAGATTAAAATTTTCAAACAAATTTGAGAAAGAATTCTTTAAGTTGATGAACAACACCTATTTTGGTATGGCATTATAAATTATAATTATATTATTTTTTATTAATTTCCTTGTAATTTTTCAGGTAAAACCATGAAAAATGTACTTGGACGAATTAAATTGGAGCTTGTATCAAGCGATAATTGTCTCCGAAAACCAATCAATAGAACTACATTTAAAATATATAATATTATATTAATATATACATTTATATTAATATTATATATGTATAATGAGGATATAATTTGTAAAACAAAAGCTGCCAAATTCAATAAGTTCATCAATATTGGTAAATATATATACTTAAGAGGACGCCGTACCCCCATGTGTTGTCACTGTCTTACATACATACAACATAGCAAATTTTCGTTCAGCAGAATCCATTTTATGTTGTTATCTTTAACATTAGAGTAAATTTACCTATTATCAAACTTAAAGATACTAATTTTATCTAGGCAATGACATAGGATTTTATTGATATTTTAATTTTAAGCTGAGTTATAGCCATATACGATATTGAAACTTTAAAATGCTCATAACTCACTTTAAAATTATAATATTAACAAAAGCCTATGTCATTGCCAATATAAAATTCTTACAATTAAGTTTGATAATAGGTAAATTTACTCTAATGTTAAAGCTTACAAAATAAAATAAATTCTGCAGAACAAAAATTTTCCATGTTGTATGTATGTAAGACAGAGATAACACATGCGAGTGCAGCGTCATCTTAAAATTAACCTATTTACATATTTAAATATTTTGTTTTTATTTAAGATTTACATTATTAAATGTTTCAAAGAACCTGACGTACGACTATCATTACAATGTTATGAAAATCATTATGGTGACAAGATCAATCTCATGTACACTGGTAATTTTTTTCCAATATCTCATCTTTTTTTGTATTTACTATTTTATTATTTTTAGATTCATTAGTGTATCATATCAATACAATTGATTTTTACAACAATTTGAAGGATAACCCTAACCTACTTAACCAAATCGACTAGTCCAACTTACCATGAGACCATCCTCGTTTTATTTTAGAAAGAGAGAAAAGATCCCAGAGCTGTTTTTTGATGAGACTGATGAGTCTTAAATAGCCGAGTTATGTACACTAAAAGCCAAGTTGTATCCATACATTTTGAGTAAAAGTTTTAGAGGTCATGTGGTTAAGAACCACATGTCATTTAACTTTCATAAAAAGTGTTTGTTTAAAGAAGCTGGAGTAGAAGCATATAAAGAAAATGTTTCCATTCAATCGTTCAAACACCAGATAATGACGATCAAGACAAAGAAATTAATGTTTAACAGCTATGACGACAAAAGGATCACTAGATCACAAAATACTTAAATGATATATATATAATATATATAATATATAGTTTTATATAGTACATATTAGTACATTAAAATAGACCATTATAATTAACATTTTAATTAATTTAAATAACCTTTAAAATTAACTCAATTAATATTAAATAGTTACATTTCATCCAATTATTAAAATATCAAACTTACAGCATCTATAAAACCCACACAACACACAAAAATACCCACAAATGTGTTCAGTCGCTCACTATGTTAGTATGTTCACACCCAATTATTGTGCACTTATTGTAGTTAAAATTTTTAATTCTTTTCTGAAATTAAATATTATTATTACATAATTTCTAAAAATATATTAATCGTTTCAACATACAAGATAACAACTATTTCTAGTGTGTCAAATTCAAAAGAAAAATAGGTGTTATCTTTATTGAATATGGATCACATTAATCTATAATTGAATATAAAAGGAAAAAATTCTTGTACTCACCCTTGTGTTAAAATTATCACATCAAATAATATTTAAGTAATGAATTGAATGTATCAAATCAAATATAATATATTATACATGTATTCTTACGAAAATACAATAATTACATCAAATTTACAATTGTTAATCTCATGTTTTTAAATTAACTCGCCTCCTATTTTTAAAATCATTCACCACCTTATTTTTATTCATTACTAGAGCTGGAATTTTAATGCTTTAAAAAATCTCAAAATATACCCTTAAAAAAATGCAAAAATGATTTAAAAACCCAAAAAATGCACTATATAAATACATTTAAATTATATTTATTATAGTTTAAAGATTGGAAAAAAAAAATTTTAAATAATATTACAGTAGTATTTTTTTTATTTTTTTTTTTGTTTTTTTTTTTACTATTTGTTGTTATTTATTTAGTTCTATTATACTTCTGTTTTCTTAATTCATTTTAAAATAATAGTTTAAAAAAAAATTGTTATCAACCATAACTTATGGTGCTATATAATTTATTATTTGTACCGTTGACAGTTTTAAGTTAAATTATTTTATTTTTAGTATAAAGGTCATGGAAGTCAATATTAGAATTTAATTAAAAATCATGTAAATATTAATATATTTACGTTAACATATTATATAAAGCAATGCTTTAATATATTATTATGTTTTATCAAAATATATTGTATACAATCTTATGAATTATTTTTTTTTCTTTTAATGTGAAAATATAATATTGGTACGTTTATTAAAAAAAAAAAAATATTGTACAATTGAATTATAAGTCTAATGCATTATTTACAAACCATTTTCTTATAGCAAAAACTTTGTACATTGTTTATGATTATACTCCATACGAAAAATACAGTTAAGTAAGGTTTTGTCATTACATATTTGATCCAATTGTGGGCAGATCAAGTCTTGAATGTTGATGACTGTGAAGTGAGGTATTTACTCTACAAGAAGTTGTTTTTTCTGCTAGCCTTTTACGTAAATACAGTTAAACTTTAAATGATTCCAATATTCTATTTTGCTTTTCATATTCGATATCACCGTAATCTATAGATAGTTGATAATAATTACGTTCCGGCTACTTGTTAGTTTTTCGACTTGTTGGTTTGCATACATTTTGAATTTTTAAAAATCCAGCGCTGAGTTGTTCATGTTCTTGTGTCTACTATATAGACATCTCTTTAATCATGATTTATTGTTGACTCCAAGTACGCATTGCATGTTTATAATGGCCAAAGACATTATGGCTTGTCTTTATAATAAAAGTATCTAGTATGGAGACAACTTTGTATAGCAGGTATTATTATTTTAAATCTTATCTATACTTTCTTTGACATATCTACTTTATTGATACTTCGTATCTATTATATACTAAAAATCAAAGGTTAATTTTTTTTTTACTTTTTAACTTAACTGGTTAATTTACATTCTAATCAGCATATGAACTTGAAGAGTTTAATTGACAGTTGAAATGACTTAGCTTTTTGCAGTTGATATTAGACATTTTTTTAATAAAATTATGAATTATAAATTGTATCGTTTTAATGTTTTATGACCTTTAATTACTATATTATATGAAAATATAATATTAGTTAAATTATTAATTTGAGATATGTATAGTAGTTTAAATTAATAATATCATGTAACGTAAAAGGGTATAAATACTGTACAATGTGCATCATGATAAAAATATAATAAAATTGTTTTTTAATTTAGTAAATTAGAAAGACATAAGTAATCATTCTTTATGTGAGTTACATACTAATTAAAAAAAAATAAATAGATTAACTTTTTTTAAGCTGAGTTAAGTTAGTATTTTTTTTTTCTAAGTATATTAAATTTTAACTTATTGAGTTAAATTTATAATTTGTTAACGGTTGACTTCTTACTTATCAATCTTGTGCTCTTTTAACTTAACTAAACTTGATTTACATATTTTCATTGACTTGCCTAGGTACTTTTGCATGTTTTGTGGCTTATGTCCTAGAGCTGTTAGTTAATTTTTGATTTCAAAAATTGGAGTTTTGAGTGTTGAAGGTTTTTAATGATAACTTTAAAGACTCTGAGTTGATAGTATGAAAATCAGCTTTATTGGATTGTAGCAATTTAATTACAGTGCGAAAAAAAATGAGCAGGGCTAGTGAATAGTTTGATATCGTTGATGGAACTTTGCATAAACATGGTTCCCTTTTTTTTTTTATTTCCTTAATGTTATTAAATCTTATCACAGAAGACCTTATAGTTCTTAACAATGCTAGTGAATTGGGTATAGCCTATAGGTGGTGGTAGTTTGATTTGGGAGGAAGAGTTTATTCGTTGAGGTCTAGCCTCAACTTATACTAGATTTTAGTTAAATCTACTTTTAACATTTTTTTACGCAAATTTAAAAAATATATATAATAATTAGAGCGCGGATTTCTATGCCATTGCATATTTTTTTCCTTTTAATATTTTTGGATTTTTGTCAGTTATCTCCACGAATTATCATAATTTGAAGCTAATGGTGAAATTTTTTTTTGCATATTTCTGCATATTTGAAGGTTATTGCATATTTTTGCATATTTTGACAAAATTCAAAATTTATTGCATATTGAAGCGAAAATTTAAAAAAATGTATAGGATAATATTTTGTCGAGTAGAATGATTTAAAATTTATATCTATTCATTTGGCATTTTTAGTGATAAAAATAGTCATAAAAAAAACTGGAAACTCGAAATATGACTTTATATCTAAACTTTTCAATAATTGACGAAACGAAAGAAAAAATGCATTCTATTCCTGGATTGAAAGGTGTAACACTTACAACAAAATTAAACGAGCTTTCCAATAAAAATGAAGGTCTGAAAATTCTACGAAAAATTAATTCAGTGTTATTAAGTGAAAACGTTCATCTTGAAGATCTTTATCAAGATCCGACAATACTAAGTTGCTTCAAATATGCCCCAATAACTTCGGTTGACGTCAAACGTTCGTTCTCAGTCTTTAAAAATATGTTAATCGATAAATGATACAACTTCACAGAAGAAAAACTTGAAATGCATATGATTATTAATTTTAATAATAAATAGAATTTTAAAAATAAATTAAGTTTAGAAATGATTTATTATTAAGTATTTAAGTAATTAATTATTATAAGTTTTATTGTAAATTTTAAATAAATAAAAAATTTTTGTATATTTTTGCATATTTTCATAATTTTGACTGCATATTTTCATTATTTTGACTGCATATTATATGCCATATTTCGATACTTTTAAGTGCATAAAAATCCGCGCTTTAATAATAATTAATAATGATCACTAAAGTAAGTTGAAAAAAAATTGAAATAAAATTAATAAACATAGCGCAATAAGAATAAAACCATTAAGGAATAATAGTAATAAAAATAATAAGTTACTATAGGTAATAAGTACATTATTTATGTACAGATTTTTTATTTATACATAGTTAATATATTTAAAATTTATATAATCATATCAATTTTTATACAAATTTAAAACAAATATGTAATAAATAATAATTAATAATGATCACTAGTTAGTATAGTTACTTATTTTACCATCAGCGGAGTTAATATGTTTTCAGGTCAAAAATACGTAGGTTACTGGTGAAATTTACATTTTTTTTTCTCGGGTAAAAAAAAAAAACGTACCGGTGAAATTTATAATCGCCCAAAGCATGACATAAGCGTAGAATAAATTGAGATGGTAGGCATTATCTTAAATCTTAGTGCACAGAACAAACTAGTAAATGTGTCTATATAGTTTTATCTAATTGCAAATCACCTCGATCAGACGACACCTTATTGTACTGTAACAGTTGTCACGTCTTGTCTGTGCCTACTCCAAAGACGTGTAGTCGGATTGAGGGGATCACACGTGAGTATGCGACATGTGACACTAATGGTCCAATTACTTAAAATATAATATTATATTGATTATGACAATAAGTTATTGCAACGAGCGGGTACAATGATCATCGCTATTACGTATACCTTGAATTTTGAACAATATGTATTATCTGTGTGTAGAATTTCTTAGGTACTTTTAACTTCTGGTCTTCATAACTGATAAGTATTATTATGACCAGTGCCGAGATCACCTTTAGTGGGGCGAACTACGCGACACCCAACCAAATGGGTATTATATACATTTATACAATACATTTAAGGGGATAACTTAAGCATACTGTACCTACCTACTTGAATTGATTTTAAAAGTTTAATATCTTTTGCCCTGGGTCATAAAAATCCTAATGCCTGCGGTATATGTATTTATACATTTACACACATAAGCGTGCGCAAGTCTTTTTGGGGGGAATGGTAAACTCCTACAAATGTAATGTAATCTCCTGCAAAGACATAGTGTTAAGTAACTCCTACAAAAAAATAGTGTTAACTCCTATAAAAAAGGATACCACTCATACTTCTGTAAGATAGCACAATTTAATACAAAAATAGCACTCAATAGGAAATGGACAGGGTCGCCGAGCAAATCCTGTGAGTGATAGAGTGGAAAAATATATTAATGAATTATATGGACATATAATATTATAATATATAATATGGATATAGGTAATAACTTAGCCATCA